ATCTATCTATCTATCTATCTATCTATCTATCTATCTATCTATCTATCTATCTATCTATCTCTATTTAAAATGGCTCCCAGTCAAAGAAATCTAAAACCACCTTAGAACTGTAAAACCAAACTGATTAAAACATTAAAGCAAATGGTAAAACTTTTCACCAACTCAAAATTCTAAATGGCTACTCTTTCCCCAATACTTGGGGGTGGAAACACCACGTCTTCACAGATTTAAGGAAGACTAGGAGGGTGAAGATCTGGTAAACTTCAGGGCCCAGAGTGTCCATAGAGCAGGGGCAGCTGTGAAAAAGGCACACTTCCTAGCTCGTATCCAATGGCCATATTCAGAGGAAGAGATTAGGAGCATGTCTGCCCTATCTAACCTGATAGGACGTTTAGGTCTCCTTGTTGTAGCTCTGGGCTACCTAGGACTTTAAAGCAGTGGTGGGCTGCAACCGGTTTAACCACCAGTTTTGTTAGGGCGTGCATGCGCAGCGTACAAAATACACCAATTTCAAGGTCTACAGCTTACCTTCTAGGGCAGCCCCAGTAAGTAAAAGAGCTGAGGCGCGGGAATTCACTGTGCCGTATGAATCCGCTGAGCTGAAAAACGCAGAAATATAGGACAGGATAAGGCAGGGCCAGCTGATCTTCGGAGCTACTGGTTCACTAGAACCAGTCTGAACCAGCAGCATCCCACCCCTGCTTTAAAGGTGATAAACGCCACCTCGAGTTGCACCTGGAAAGAAACTGGAAGCTAGCGCAGAGGTTTTATATGGGCAAACATAAAAGGGGAGACATCACTGTGGGCATTCTGGACGAATTGAAGTTTGCAGGCAGTCTTCAAGCACGGCCCCATGTAGATCAGAGCGCATTGCAGTCATCCAGATCATAACCAAATTATGAGTTGATGGTAAGCAAGGCTAGATGAAAGCTGTATAAGAAATACCTTCAAAACAATCCCAGGCTGTTTATTCTTTTCCTTCCTGTGGCATCATACATATTTATTTAAATTTCCTGTCCTCCAAAAGATGACCATTGATAGTTTTTGTTGCCAAGGATAGCGTATTCTGTTTCCTCCTGTATAAATCACCCTTTGGGTTAGAGCCATTACTTCACCTTGCTAACCTTTTAGAAATGTCATTTTTCTTGTGCCACAAATTAAATATTGCATATATTTTTTTCTTTGTCTTCACAGGGCCGGTGCATAAACTTTTCCAGAGTGCAGACTCAGTAAAACAAGGAGAAAACAAAAGGAAAAGCCATCTTTTTTATTATTATTATTATAACCAAATGAAGTCATTGAGTGAAGCACTTATAAAGAATTCCTCAGAATGTCTCCTAGCTCCGAGCTTGGAAGTTTGCTCCACTTGGCTCTGCAAAAGTCACCCATTGCCACGTTAAGCTCCTCCATCTGCCATTATCTTTCAGCTTATTGCTTCATACAGTATTTCCTTACAGTATTATACACTCTGCAAGTGGCCACAGGAAGAATTTTGGCGTCGTGTGTCTAGTTTTCCACAGCACAGGAAACCACGAACGAGTGCCTGATCAGGTTGGCCTTTTGTGATGTTAGCACTCAAGACTTGATGAGCCTCTTCCCTGGAGGGGTCTTGCCTTAGGGGCACGAAGACGGAACTTATTATTTAAATATGAATGTATTTACCCCAGGGAGGAGAGCAAAATTCCCACTGGGCTGAAAAAACACACAGATGGGAGTTCATTGCCCTACGGGGGTGTCATCTCATGGAAATCTTTGAGTCTCGGTCCACATTCCCCCCCACCACCACTCTCCCACCTAGTTAGATTGTGCCTTACGGGAAACCTCTGACTTTAAAATCTTGTCACTTTGACGCTGTGGAGTATACATGTACGATCAAACGCAGCCATGGTGCCTGGAGGTGTTGGTGGCGAGCGAAACTTTGCCCTCTAGTTTCCGAAGACACCTTTCTTGTACATGATGCACCCGGGACTGGAAGAAAAATTAATAGAGCGTTATTCTCCAGGAAGACCGCCTGGAACCAAAGATCTTGAGTGGTGATCGAGGGAGCTGAGGCATCGAGGGTTGTGCACTGCGCCTAATTGTGTATCTTCCCCTTTTCTGCACTTGGTGCTCAGTAGCGCATAAAAACATTGTCCTTTGTAAACATACGTAGTAATTCTGGTCTTATGGATTATTGTAATAGGATGGGGAGGGAATAAAACAGGCTCCACAAAGCTGGCAATCTCAGGGTCTCTTTTTCTTTCTCTCTCTCTCTCTCTTTCTCTTTCTCTCCTTTTCTCTTCCCTCCGCCTTAACCATCACCGAACCTCCAAGGGCTCTTCAGCGTCACAAACCAGCAATTCTCTTTGCATGAGAATTTCAAAGTTTAATTAATATAATTAAAGGCAACAGCAAGCAGCAGCCTGTGAAGATTTGGCTCATCCTTTTTATGCCTTTTGACATTGAATGACCTATCCCTGTAATGCGCATTACTCAATTTTGAGGGGCTACCATGCTTTGGTGGAGATTCAACAGTGGGAACCAAGAGGAAACGGGGGGAGGGGAGAAAGCAAGATACTTCTTTTTTTTCTCCTTCCCCCTCTCCATTTTCTACAGCAACTGTGTAGTGTGCCAGCCACCAGGAAACATTGGCCGGGTAGGTATTTATCATTTTATATATGTAAACCTACCCCCCAAAAGGGAGAAAAAGCATGTCGTGTCACATCGGCCATGCCAAACAGTGTTAGCGTAAAAGGGAACTCTGTGGGGCAGGGGTGTGTGGGGGGGGAGGAAGGCAGCAGCTGAAGAAAAAGGCTCAAATGATCCAGTCACTTTCGATACTGTACTTCAGATGCAAAATGGATATTCGAGGCGAAACCTGACAAAATGCACCTACTTTGATGGGAACCGGTATAGACAATGACCAGTGGCTGGGTCAGTGGGATGTCTCTCTGCAAGCAGGGAAGCTTATCAAATGACACTAAAAATAAGTTCAACAACCATCACATTTGAGGGGAAATGGGGAATATTTCACATTGGGGCAGGCATGCTTGTGCACAAGATGGAGAAGGAGAAGGCACGCATGTTGGTCTAATTAGCCCTTCTTTGTTGCTTGGCACTGAAACCTCAAGGGGCATAAAATTATTCCCTCGGCCGATGACCAGATTTGCCGCTTCCTCCGAGCAAGGCTTTCCCCCCACCGGGCAGCCCCCTTGCTGATGTGGAAAGGCAAACTGGAAGAGGTCTTTAGATCGGAGAGGGTAGAAAATGTAATGTGGTAGAAAATGTTGGACGACTGGAGTCTTCCACACAATCACTAGGGGAGGCACTGTATGGCCACAAATGTGATAGGTAGAGATTTAGGTCAAAATTTGGAGGATGGTGAAAGAAATCAGGAAGAAAGCTGTTGCAATCACGGGGGACTTGAGTTTCCCCGCAGTTGAGGTGGATTCAAGCCAGAGTAAAGAAACCATGTTTCTCAACATCCTAGAAGATTATGCCTTAGCTCGGTTGGTCTAAGACAAGGAGTTTCCAACCTTGGCAACTTTTAAGACCTGTGGACTTCAACTCCCAAAGTCCCCCTGGGTTGGGAAATGGCTGACCGGGGAGGAATTCTGGGAGTTGAAGTCCATAAGTCTTAAAATTGCCAAGGTTGGATGCTCCCGGTCTAAGAAATCACTAGAGTTCACAAATATAAAAATCGGGTGCAGTGCCTGTGATCTGGGAGGTAACCAATCTGGCATCATCTTTGGAAAAGGAACCCAGAGAAGATCCATGAAATTCTAACACGGTAAGCTAAGCATCTTGGCAAGTTCATGTGGAGGATTTGAAGAACAAACGTTGGTGAAGGAAAGTCACATAGTCTTCGCAAGGTAGATCTTGCACCAGTCAGCTTTTAAGGTTACTTTGGGGTATCAACAAGCACAGGATAGAAATGACTCTGTTGACAATGTGTACATTAATATCCAGAAAGCCTTTGTCAATATCAAAAGCTTTTGAGTACATGTAACTGGCGGGCCTGTCCTTTTATGGATTGCCACAATACTCAAAAACAGAAAGTGAAGACTGATAGGCCTTCTTCTCAGGAAACAGAACTAAGAAATAGGATCCCTCAAAGATCTGTGTTGAGATTTTTAACTTGTTCGTAAATGGAGTTGGTTGAGGTTAAGCAGAAGACTGGTTAAAGTTGGGGTGAAAACCAAAAATAGGGCTCTCTGTAACCAACCAGGAATGAAAGTTGAGGTCAACTCAAAAATATGGCAACTGTGAAAAAGATAAACTCCATTGTAGAGACCATTAGCAAAAGGATTGCAAATGAAACTGTTAAGACTGAACGTATACAAATCTGTAATATGTTTGCATCTGGAACGTGATTTTCAGTTCTGGTTATAAAGTTTGAAAAGAATGTGATAAAGGTGGAGAAAGTGCAGAAGGTGGTAGCCAAAATCTTCAAGGAGCTCTAACACCTTATGAGGAAAAGGTAGAGTGTTGAGGACTTTTTAGCTCAGAAAAAGTTGAGGTGTCTAAATCATGCGATGTGTAGAGGAAATGGATGGAGAAAAGTGTTCTCTGTCTCTTACAGTGTTAAGATCGGGGTCATTTGGTAAATCTTATTGGAAGGAGATTTATTTTTAAAAAGAGAGAGATGGAAGCATTTTAGGCAACATGTAATTAATCTGTGGGATTCATTACCAGAAAAGGTGGCGATTACCATCAACTTGTATGGCTTTAAAAGGGGACTTGGATAACTCCATGAAGGAGACGTCTACCAAAGGTTACCTGTCTTGAAGACTCCATGTTGGAGAAGTCTTCTTTTAGACACCAACAATAGGGAAAGAGTGATGGGAGAAAGATAGCAGCCTTGGTCCTTCTTTGGAGTACCACTGAGGCATTTGGTTGACTGACCACTGTGAGGAAGCAAATGCTGGACTAAGAAGGACCTTATTTCAAAATGGTTGGTCTTACATTCTTGCTTTGTCTTGGCTTAAGATGATCTTTCTTACTGAAAGCATGTGAGCTCATTCAGATAAAAGACTTAAGGTTCTACCTGCTGTTGTTCTTAAAGGCTGTTGCACCTTTTAAATTGATTTATAGTCTTCTCCAGTTAATGGTTTACACCACTGAAGCTGCCTTCCCATATCATTTTGTGAAGGGTAAGGAGGCAAGCCGCAGGATAACTCAGGGGATTTCTGCTTAAATAATTGTGTAAAATTGTCTGGCTGTACAGTGTGTTAAATGCGGGGTTAGCAATGACAGTATCGGCACAATATGGCACCACAATCTCCTGCAACTCTCAAAGGTCATAGCTTTCAAACCAGATCTGCAGACTTTTGCAGCTGGGGAAGAATATAAAATGATAGGTTTATTTGGTGTAGAGTGCTTAATACCTGCAATTCCTCACAAGCAAATAACTTTGTTCATCTCTGAGATTATTATTTTTTATTGTGCAAGAATAAGGTAAACATCAAATCATGTAAGTTTCTTATCCACTTCCTATAGTTTTGAATCCATACCTGAAAAAATCTGGTATGGAATTTGAAATTAATTCATATTGCATATTAAAAATATTTCAAGACAAACGTTTAGAAAAGGGCTTAATACATTTTGTTTGTTTAGAAAACAGTCTAAAACATTTCATTACTGGGGATATTTAGTTTCTTGCTTTATTAAAAGTATACTGAGAGATTGCACCAATCTCAAAATATATATATTTACAAAGGCATCGGCTAATGAGATTTGGTATTCAAACATATATATAAAATTGATCATATGCAGTATTTCCATCTTTAAGAATTTCTATTCCAATTCTTTCTATTCCTTTCTGTGGAACAACAAAGGTTTTTCAGGGTACAACAATTTTGCATTATTTAATTCAACTGTTAAAAATAATTTAAACCAATACATCCTGACATAAATGATTGCTAATCTCATTGTTGACTTGGAGGGGAAAAAAACACCATAATTCAAGATCTGTTTTAAAAGGTTTTTGCCTGTATTTACCAAGTTCATCTGCTGTCAGCTTTACTACAAATAACCAAAGCATTGTTAAATTAATAACATATATTAAAAGAATTAAAGTTATGTATTTATACCAATGCTGAATGGGTTTTCATTTCATTTTTAGTTTTCAAATATTGTAGAATCATAAAGGTTTAATCTGTTAGATTGGGGGAAAAATTCAACCACACAGAGACAGAACATAAAAGTGCAATTTGGGAAAATAATTGTGTACAGTTCTTTTATCCTGAATTTCTCAAACATCTTGGATCTTGGAAATGATACATAAAACATGGAATTATTGTTTCACTATATGGACATGTAGAGAATCTCAGTAAGTCCTGAATAGCAGTTTCAACATGCCACTTTTCCCCCTTTAAGCCTTAAATTAGGTCCTGAATTGCAGTTATGTATTATAAAGTGAAGTTTTAAGAACAAATCTTTTTTTGTTTAAATCTTATTGAACCAATGAGTCTCAGCCTGGTCATTCATACAACGCTCATGCATAACATTGATGAAAAATATTAGTATTTTTTAAACTTCTTGCTTGTCTACCCCATTTTCCTTCTGATCCTACATATTCAAAACACAGAATATCAGGATTTATCAAAGCCCCCAAATAACTGCAAGATCTTAATTGGATTAATATGTTTAGTCATGAGCTTTCCTTCCTTCCTTCCTTCCTTCCTTCCTTCCTTCCTTCCTTCCTTCCTTCCTTCCTTCCTTCCTTCCTTCCTTCCTTCCTCCAGTCTCTTCCTAAAAACTTCCAGTAATAAAGCACCCACAACCTCTGAAGGGAAGCTGTTCCACTGGTTCATTTATTTGTTCATTCATTCATTCATTCATTTATTGACTCCTGGTATATATATATATATACCAGGAGTCAATAAATATATATATATGAAATTGTGAAAGGAACTATTCCGTGTGGATACAGTTGGGTGAAAGGGGGACCCAAAAAATCAAAATGGCAGCCACAATAATGAAAGTCCCGCCCCCCTTTTAATGTGTCAGGTGCATTAAAAGAGAATAATACTTCAGTCATCGAGGCCTGGTTGGCCACCTTCCCAGTGACTTCTTAGTTTGGTTCCAAAACTTACCTCATGCCACGGACATTTATATGAATAATCCAGAGGTGCTCTGTGAGAATGTAAAGGAATTTAGAGAGAATGAAAGGGAAACGAACCATTCAGCCAGGGCTTGAAAATTACTTCGTCCTGCAAAGAGGAAACTGAGAAAGCAACTGAGAATAACCCCACCTTGATTTTGCTTTTAGAAGGTGGGACAGAGATAAATGTGCACATTTTCAATTCAGTGGGGTTTTTTTTTTCCACTGAAATCAGTGCTAAGTATTTTCCTTCCCCTGAAATCCCTACTAAGTATTTTTCTTGAGTTGGCATAGATTCTTCCTTAAAACTTGAATTATTACGTTTCCACCAGTCTTAGATTGTGAATCTAATAGTAGGTTACCCACACACAGTAAAACCAACAATGTTAATTATATATTATATAAATATTTAGGTTTCCCCTTGATGGCTTATTCATTTCTTCTCTATCTCCAAGGTTAGCTCTAATTTCCTTTTTAGAGGAAGGCAGATCAGATGAATGTTGTTTTAATGTTAGTTGTACCCTATGTAATTGGCATTCTACTGCAGTAAATTTATTATAAAGATATTGGCAATAGATTCAATTGCATTTATTTCCAAGTCTTTAAAACAATGTTCCTAGAATTGATTTAGTGCATTGCAGATAGTGACCAAGAGTAAGATAAGAGGCTAGAATTTTACATTGGTATCATCCAGCCCTTGCTAAATATTACAAAATGCACATTGTTTTCAAGGTTAAAGCTCTCTCTATACTTTCCTAACCATTTTAGAGAAAGTTCTTATAGCCTACCATATCCATTTGCACTAACAATGCTTGTGAGATATCAGAACTGAGTCTCTCCGCTTTGGTTAACTAATATTTTCTTATCGATACAGAATTGTGTCAACTCCTAATACACTCACTTGGAGATCAGAAGGGAGGATTAGACAAGGTTGAATCAGATGGCACCTTCCTTATACATAAAGGTAAAGGTAAAGGTTCCCCTTCAGGAGTGGGATTCTACCAGTTCGCACCTATTCTCTAGAACCGGTTGTTAACATTCTAAGCAGTTTGGAGAACCGGTTGTTAGAAGAAATGACTGGCCTAATCCTGTAAGGAAGGCAGGAAGGAAACATTCTGGTGTCGCTTGCAAAAACTGCCTCTCCGTTAACCCTTATTACATTCTTGGCAGGACTAGACTTCCTGTCTCTGGAACTTCTCTGGAGGTTTTTTTTTCCTCCCTTGCTGGTACTATGCTTGTGTCAAGTGACCATTCAAAGTTAAAATGGCACTGAAAAAAATGACTTATGGCCACTTTTCACACTTACGACTGTTGCAGCATCCCCACAGTCATGAGAGGCCAGGCGAGGAGATGCGTGCCTCAATGTGAGTGATGTTGAGTTGGCCATGCCCAGCCAGTCACATGACCACCAAGCCATGCCCACCAACTAAGCCATGCCCACAGAACCAGTTGTTAAAAAATTTGAATCCCACCCCTGTTCCCCTCTCACCTACATGCTAGTCGTTTCCGGCTCTAGGGGGCGATGCTTATCTCTGTTACAAAGCTGAAGAGCCAGCGCTGTCCCAAGACATCTCCGCGGTCACATGGCCAGCATGACTAAATGCCGAAGGCGCACGGAACACTGGTACCTTCCCACCAAAGTGGTCCCTATTTTTCTACTTGAATTTTTTACATGCTTTTGAACTGCTAGGTTGGCAGAAGCCGGGACAAGTAATGGAAGCTCACTCTGTTACACAGTGCTAGAGATTCCAACCGCCAAACTTTCTGATTGACAAGCTCAGCGTCTTAGCCACTGAGCCACTGCGTCCCTTCCTTATATACAAAATGCTTTTGCAGAAAATACAGGCCTTTGAAAAGTGCCAGTAACTTCATAATTTAATTTAATAATTTAACATTTTAGGGTTACAGAAGCTATCATTTAGACCTTGAGTGAGTACAGCCTATTTCTCGTATTTTATATTTTTATTCATTGATTAAATTTGTTAGCTACCCATCATGCTACAAAGTGACTCTGGTCAGCTTACAGTATCAAAATAAAACCATGAAATATATATATATATATATGGTTGTAAATGTATGTATGTATGTGTGTGTGTATGTATGTATGTATATACACACACACACACATACATACACATACATACACACACACAAATGTGTAACGTCACAATGAAAGCATCATAA